TTGAGAAGAAGATTTTTAAAGATTTTTCCTATATATTCCTATGTAAAACTTTGATCAGCCATTTTGGCCCAACCCTACCCCCAGGGGTCATGCTTTGAACAAACTTAAATCTACACTACCTGAAAAAGCTTCCGTATAAATACTAGCATCACTAATCATGGTTTTGCTATTCTTGAGAAGATTTTCATTAAATATATTTTAATGTAAAACTTGGATCCGCCATTGTGACTCCACCCTATCCCTGGGGGATATAATTTGAACAAACTAGATTCTACACCACCTGAGAATGATTCCATATAAATATCACTAATCATTGTTTTGAAGTACTTGAGAAGACAAATTTTAAAGATTTCCCTACCTAATCCTATATGTAAAACTTTGATCAGCCATTTTGGCCCCATCCTACCCCCAGGGGTCATGATTTGAACAAACTTGAATCTACACAATCTAGAGGATGATTTCACACGAGTTTCATCTTTTCTGGCCTAGTGGTTCTTGAGAAGATTTTTAAAGATTTTTTTCCTATATATTTCTATGTAAAACTTGATTGGCCATTGTGGCCCCACCCTACCCCAAGGGGTCATGATTTGAACAAACTTGAATCTACACAACCTAGAGGATGATTTCACACGAGTTTCATCTTTTCTGGCCTAGTGGTTCTTGAGAAGATTTTTAAAGATTTTTTTCCTATATATTTCTATGTAAAACTTTGATTGGCCATTGTGGCCCCACCCTACCCCCGGGGGTCATGATTTGTACAAACTTGGATCTACACTACCTGAGGATGCTTCCATATAAATATGATCAATTATGGCTTTGTTATTCTTGAGAAGAAAATTTTTAAAAGGGCATAGACACAGTTTTGACAGCTAAAATTTCAAAATTTATTTTTTCCATTTTTACAAATATTCAACTAGGGTCTTTCTAAAGATCAATTTTAACACCAGTTGTCCAGATACAAGAGAGATTTAGAGCTCCAAACCTTTGTTATGTAAACAAGGCTAGTGTCATGTTTTTGTTTACACAGGTTAATATGCTAATATATGTTCGTTCAAAGAAAATAATTTCAATTATAAGTTAATTTTAAAACGATTCAACAGTTACTATTGATTTGCTGAACTTCATTTTGTTATAAATATATTTTTTATAAGTAAAAAAAAACTAGAACTGTCCAATAGGGACAAATACCCCCCGCTGGGTTTTTCAGAGAAGGTGTCAATTCAAAAATACTTTATGGATCTAGAGGTGCTCACAATTTTTAATACTTACAAAAATTTGCAGTGAAATATAATTGCTCATCATGTTTCTTAATGAATGAAACAAAGGTGCAACCAAATGAAACATCAATACTAATACATTGTAATTTCATTGTAACATTATTTTTTTTACTATTTTTTTATTTCTGCATTAAAAAAAATATATTGCAATTATGTGTTATGTCACTCTGCAAACTAATTGTTGAAAAAAAAATCATATTATACAAAATAAAATTAATCTTGATAACTTTTTATCAAATTCATTTTGAAAATAAAGAGCTGGTCATCCAGTAATGAAGTGCTTTGACAGACAATAAATTACAATTAAGAGAATATTAAAGAGAAGAGAGATCTTTAATTCTTGTGCTGCTCGATTCCCAGGAGATTACACATGGTTGATAATGAGATGCCTTAATGTTCAACTTCCCACACCAAACTCATTAATTTATCTTTAACTGGGTGCATGTCCAGTCATTATTCCCAAGAGACAAATGAAATTACATTATCTTCTGTGCAATGTAAAAACTGTTTTTAACACTTGATTTTTTCAAATGTTTTTATGAGTAGTTTTAAGCTGTAGTATTTTTGTACAGATATTCTAGATTCTATGGCTCAAACCTTATACATGAGCCCAAAATGAACAAATCAATTAAAATAAAAAATAAAACCTGTAAAATGCAAAAAAATGAACAAAAAGGGTTGAAAATTCCAGGTGCACTCTTTCATATGGTGAATAATAAGTGTACAAATTTTCAGATTAATCCTTGCAATAGTTTCTGAGAAACGGTCCAGACAAAACCACAAAATAAAAATGAAAAAACACCTGTAAAATTCAAAATAATAATCGAATCAAGATGAAAATATCAGGGGCACAACTTCATATGGTGAATAATATGTGTACAAATTTTCAGACAAATGCTTCCATAGTTTCTGAGTAATGGTCCAAACAAAATCTCGTCTACAGACAGACGGACATAGTGATTCCAATATACCCCCCCTAAACTTCGTTTGCGGGGGGTATAAAAACAAGGCACAAGCCTTGTTTACATTAGCAAGAACTTTAAGTTCTGTATCTTGTTTGTTAATCAACAAATGATGTTCAAATTTTTCTTAATCAATAGATGTTGCCTTAGATAATGATTGTAAACATTAAAATTGGTTTTAAACAAGAGGCCCATGGGCCACATCGCTCACCTGAGCTCTTTGGCTAGGAAAAACCAGAATTGGTTTATACTTGAAAAGCTTAAATCTAAAAGTAGTTCCAAGACCAATCATGGTTTTGCTATTCTTGAGAAGAAGATTTTTAAAGATTTTTCCTATATATTTCTATGTAAAACTTTGGTCAGCCATTTTGGCCCCGCCCTACCCCTGGGGGTCATGATTTGAACAAACTTGAATCTTAACTACCTGAGGGTGCTTCCATATAAATATGATCAATTATGGCTGTGCCTTTCTTAAGAAGAAGATTTTAAAAGAATTTTCCTATATATTTCTATGTAAAACTTTGGTCGGCCATTTTGTCCCTGCCCTACCCCTGGGGGCATGATTTGAACAAACTTGAATCTACACTAGCTACTTGAGGATACTTCCATATAAATATGATCAATTATGGCTGTGCTTTTCTTGAGAAGAAGATTTTAAAAGAATTTTCCTATATATTTCTATGTAAAACTTTGGTCGGCCATTTTGGCCCCGCCCTACCCCCGGGGGTCATGATTTGTACAAACTTGAATCTACACTACCTGAGGATGTTTCCCCATAAGTTTCATCTTTCCTGGCACAGTGGTTCTTGAGAAGAAGATTTTTAAAACATGCCGCCAAATTTTCATTAATTTCCAATTATCTCCCCTTGATTAAGGGCTTGGCCCTTAATTTGAACAGACTTGAATCCCCTTTACCCAAGGATACTTTGTGGCAAGTTTGGTTGAAATTGGCCCAGTGGTTCTTGAGAAGAAGTCGAAAAGTTTACGGACAGACAGACAGACGGACGTCGAACAATATGTGATCAGAAAAGCTCACTTGAGCCTTCGGCTCAGCTGTGTCCATGGCCCTTTAAAGAATTTTCCTATATATATCTATGTAAAATTTTGGTGGGCCATTGTGGCCCCGCCCTACCCCCGGGGTTCATGATTTGCACAAACTTGAATCTATACTACCTGAGGATGCTTCCATATAAATATGATCAATTATGGCGTTGTTATTCTTGAGAAGAAAATTTTAAAAGAATTTTCCTATATATTTCTATGTAAAACACTGGACGGCCATTGTGGCCCTGTCCTACCCCCGGGGTTCAAGATTTAAACAAAATTGAATCTACACTAGGATGTTTCCCTGTAAGTTTCATTTTTTCTTGCACAGTGGTTCTTGAGAAGAAGATTTTTTAAACATACCACCAAATTTTCATTAATTCCCAATTATCTCCCCTAGAATGAGAGTGTGGCCCTTCATTTGAACAAATTTGAATCCCCTTTATCCAAGGATGCTTTGTGGCAAGTTTGGCTGAAATTGGCCTAGCCGTTCTTGAGAGGAAGTCGAAAAAGTGAAAAGTTTACAGACAGACAGACAACTAGACAGACAGCTAGACAGCCGGACAAAATGTGATCAGAAAAGCTCACTTGAGCCTTAATCCGCTCAGGTGAGTTAACAAGAGATGTATGTAAAACACTTATGTCCCCTTACCCCCAATTGGAATTCTTCTAAAATCATGGCACATTTGTACCCAAAACAGAACTTCGCCTATATATTCATCTGATAAATTTGTATACTAAATTTCATTTCATTATGTGCAACCTTTGCAAAGAAAATAAACAGAAACTGCAAATAATTGGAATTCCCCCCAAATTTGAATTTTTCCAAGTCCAAAAGGGCAAAACTCCATCAAAAATGGTCCCATCAAACCAAAAACAGAACTTGACCTAGATATTTATCTGATACATGTATAATCTGTATACTATATTTCATTTCAGTAAGTACAGCCTCTGCAAGGAAAATGAACAGAAACTGCAAATGATTGGAATTTCAAGAGGCACAACTCTGTCAAACATGGAGCAATTTTACCCAAACAGAACTTGACCTACATGTAGATATCTGATATATCTGTATACCAAATTTCATTTCAGTATGTTGAACAACAGACAGACCGACCGACAAACCGACAGACAGCAGCAAATCAATATGCCCTCCCTTCTTGGAAGAGGGGCATAATAATTAAAAATTTGATGATTTGTTATAATTTAACACAAAATGCTAAAATAATTGGTTGCAACATAATTTTTCCCAAAGTGCATCAACTGACAATGTCTATGTACCACATGTACAAGGACAGAACTCTACATCTTACAGCCAAAATTGACCAGAAAAGCTAACAGATGGACAGCAAACACTGGAAAATAACCAATTGGAATTCTGAAATGCTAAAGTATCTGTACAAGTCTGGAAAGATAAGAAGGGGGGGGGGACACATACATATCAAATGTGTGTTACTCGATAATCATTTACATTGAGTACAAAAGGTCAAAAGACATTTTGAAGAGCTTGAGTGGCTATTTGATGACATAAAGAAAATGGTATCAAAGCCAGGACGACTTTGGTATGATAATGTCCAAAACAAAGTTGAGCACCATTGAGAGTAGGAAAGTCACAAGTAAAACATCTCTTAAGATCACCAACTGTTATATTTAGCACCAGTTAAACTTAAAACAGTTCCATTTACAAACATTTATTTTTGTAAAGCACACCATCTGATATCAAGACTTTTTTGCTCGCCTTTTTTCCATCACAGTAAGAGTCAGAAGTGCTTTTACGATTTCTTTTCTATCCTCCAGCAGCAAATAATTATAAGGTTTACTGTAGTAAAGAACAGGTCTTTCTTCTTCTTTTAATTTCACTGAAGCATGTGATCTTTGAAGTTTTTCCATTGTTTCATCTGCCACAGATAACCTTGTAAATGTAACCTGTGAAAAAAGAACATTTAAAAAAAAAAGATATATTTTTTTAATAATATAATTTGATCCTCTTTTAAGGAGTATAATCAAAGGTCTAGAAAAGATTCATAGACCACATTGCTTACTGAAAATGCTGAAAGTTACCAACCAACTGAAAATGCGCTTGACAAAGAATTTTTCAACCATGATGTAATTTTATTTGCAATTTTCGGGATATTAAAACTGTTACATTTTCAGTTTATGATTTTTTTTAAATCAGTCAGTAATTTATAACATTCATATTTTAGTAGGCCTATTAAAAGCTTTACAAAAATCTGAAAACCTTTATTTAAAAAAAAAGAATGTCTACCTACCTACCCAGTATAAAAGTTGAAGGCAGACAATTGTAAAACAAAGATTTTTTTTAAACTTGGTCTAATTAAATTAAACGTGACACTAGTACTGTAATGGTCATTGATCTTAATGGTTTAGGAAAAGCTTTTCCAAATTCATAGTGCTTGCCAAAAATGTCCTCATCATTTCATAAGTCATATTGAACAAGTCAAAAATCTTTTCTATAAATATCAAAATGAAAAATTAGCTAGGATATGGAAAGAAAACCACTCCATCTCAAACTTTAAAGCTTAGTACAGTAAAACAGTAAGTTTATCTTAGTTCTTGTAATCACACAATTTTGGTCAATTCACAAGAAGTTTTGAGCATACCATAGTTTTTTCCACAGTCATTCCTAATATTGCCCCATTACATATTGATTTGTCCAGGTAGGTCAAAAGGTCACCGACATGTTGCGCAAGTAACCCATCAGGTAAATGGTAGCTCTGGGATCTCTGTGGAGAATCTTCTGTTCTTCTGAATTTCTGTAGTGATGGTCCTGTGACTCCTGTCTCTTCTTCCATGAAAGTGCATTCCTTTTTCACCTAAAATGAAAATCTAAATGAATTTTTTCATTATATTTTCACTATATAAATTTATATATTATAAAATAAATTTTATATAATAAGTAAACAATTAATATAAATAAAAAGTTGACTGTGTTTTCAGGCACACTGACTATGTAAGCCTCCTCTTGATAAAAATAATGCCCTTTGTTCCACATCAGGCAATATTTCATCCATTAGAGGCTAACAATATACATATATGGACTTGGGTTAAGGGCAACATTGATAATGTTTAATATTCCACTTTCATGTAAATTACTTGAAACTGATTCGTCAAGAAACATCTGTTAAAAAACACTATTACCCGCTTAATAATGAAGCCACACCCTCCTGTGTAGAAACAGTCAACTGTGCTTGACGACATGTGATATTCAAAAAAATAGCGACTGCGCAGAATTTATGCGCGCACGGTTCATATATGTATTTGACTATTTGTATAAAACATTCAGTATAATATAATAAATATTGCATGTAGTTGAGTGTAACATTGCGCCTGGGTTGACAATGGTTTTCTTGGGGTGAAAATTTTTAATGTTACACTCAACTACATGCAATATTTATACTGTAAAACGAGAAAATTTGGCGCATTCATATTTTAGCGCAAACGCAAGTGGGAATACATTGGCGCAAACAAATTTTAGCGCTCGCACTTGTCAGTAAAATATATAAATGCCACATTTTTTTATTTTTTTTTATCCGCACCCGTATTTGACTTTTTGGATAGTCCAGCACACAAACACATTAGTACTCTCGTATATCAGTAAACATTTGTCACCTTTACCGCGGTACGTGTTGCTATCACATGGACGTGGTACAATGTTAAAATTTATTTCATCTCTATTTTCAATTAAAAGAAATGGAGTATTTACTAATTTAAATAACATTAAAACAATGCATGCATCGACAGAAAAATTACTAAGACAAAACGGTAATCCGGTATTGTCTGCAAGCTCAATCGCCATGCTTGATTGCATTGTTAACCTAGAGGTGATAGATGATTTACACACCGAGAAGCCAAAATTTGAGGGTCAATCTGCTCAACGCGTTATCGGCAACTCGGTTGTTATCGGACACTTGGTTGATCACAATTTTTTTACAGGTTAGTAAATTATTTCAAATAAACTCTGTTAAATTAGAAACAGAGAATTTTCATTGTTATTTTCGTAAACAGAAATAAATATGGATACAAAATATCGCCTTGATACGTATTAGAATAGCATTTGTTAGCCTTGGGAAGGCTTTAAAAGTCAAATTTGTTATATTTTGCAAGTTTTTCTCCAATTGGCATTGCTGTAAATAGCATTTTTCTTCATAATCCTTATATTTACCTAGCGTTAATGATTGTCCACAAGAAGACATCGTCAGAATCTTGCAAATATGTTATTAAAGGACAAAAATTGCCCAATTTCAACTTTCAGTATGTTATCGGAAATACGGTTGAATAATTCAGTTTGTTATCGGAAACTACGGTTTTGGTTATCGGAAACACAGGTTGAGATAGATAAGGAAAAATATAAAGGAACGACAGAAATCTGCATGAAATCTAAATATATAAAGTGGCTGGCACACAATTCTAATTTTTGGTTATTATTTACCTCTTTTAAGAATATCTAACTTTGAAAAATGTGTGTTTTGGGCATTTCTCACAGAAATCTGCATGATCTTGACCTGTTGGTAAATATGGTATTAGTTTTAAATTTCATTTTAAGTTACCGAGGTCGCCCTTGGTTAAAATGTCTGCTCTAGAGTCGCCAAGTAAGGAGTCGATCCTTATACGTTGCTGGTGTGTATCCCAAAGTGGGACGCCGCAATAAGTGCTAGCACAAAAAAGATCCCTCACTGCTCAATGGCCCTAAGTGCCGAGTATAAGACAAGATTTGTAGTTCTCTGCCGGCAAATGGTGGCGTCTCCATATGACTTGAAAATTCTTAAGATGACGTTAAACAACATAGTCAATCAAGGTGATTAGCGAATAGCAAAAGAACAGTTGCCAGTCATTTTATCGACTTAGCACAGGCGACACCGAGATTCAAACTCACAACCTTTCCAACACGAATAAATTTATGTTTACGGTAAAGCAATTAAAGAATTCAAAATCAATAGAATTATGGGTGGTTAAATGTAGTTCCAAATAGGGCGTTAGACCAAACTATATGACATAAAATAAAAACTTTTGAGGTAAAAAGAGATCGACATATAAAATTACGAAATCGTAAACACGGATCCGGATTTCTAAAGACATCATGAGAGGTTGTTTGACATACCAAGAAGGAATAAGAACCCCCTGATAAACGGTTACATCCAGCAGTGTGCTCTTCGTCATTATTGGCCAGATGCAATGTGTAAATAGAGCTCATACTCAGAAAAATCGAGGGGGGGGGGGGGATTCACATGGATATTGCATTGCTACTGGATGTTTTACTGAAGTAAAAATTCTCTGCCCCCCTCCCTCCTCCGCCCAAGTGTAATTGAAAACCTTAATCACTGACTGTAGAAAAAGTTAAACATAATTATGAGGAACTGAAAATGAATCAACTAGCACCAGATCTCCTAGATAGGTAATTTTCAGGGTTGGGAAATCAGGTATTTTTTTTATATTAAAGTGTTTTCTCTATTGTGCTTTTTGCACAATAAAATCCCAGTCGACTCTTCTATTTTTATTTATTTATTTATTTATTTTTCAATATTTTTTCTGGACCTTGCTTTTTATTAAAGGATAGCCTCCTTAATCTACTACATATCCAAATTACATTGTATAAAAAGAATTAAGAATTATTATCTTTCTTTTTTGTTGACAACTATCTGATTGAAACAAGCTAGATCACATGATTAAAACAAGCTAAATCAAGTATTTAAAAAGTCCTATGTTCTTTTGCGAAGCAACAAAAGTGCTGACGTCACAATCACAGGCACTTGTTTTGTATATGGGGCACCCCACTTAATTAAGCCTCAATGCTATATTTGTAACTGTTACGTGATTCCGGGGATCATGGGGAAACTTGAAATTTAAAAAAAAAAAATAAATAATAATGTAATAATCAGTATTTCATAGTACAAAAGTAATTGATTGTTATGATCGATAAATTAAAGATACTGTACACAGAAAAAATTTTGTCCCCGTTTTATTTTCGCCCACTTGCCCTCGTCACGCTTGGGGAATTTAAAATGGGGCGAAATCAAAGAACACTCTATAATTTGTGCTTTCTGTTGCTGAAAGTATAATCAATTATCTGTCATAGATCACAAACTTTGTTTGCTGAAATTCAAATTGTCATCTTTTTAAGAACTGAAAGCTTTGACCGCAGAATATCATGGAATTTCGTCTTTTTTTTAATGTATTGTTGAAACAGAGGGAAAAAATTTAACCTGCCGGTGGGTTTCCGATTACCTGCACACATGAAAAACCGAATTATCCGGCAACTTCAACCGTATTTCCGATAACATGTTTTTGCCCAACATAGAATTTTAAATGCCCGTAAAATAATCCATAATTTGAATTTTGATATATGTCTGCTTATCTAAAGGTTTATGATAGTCCATATAGTTAATAAATCACTTTGTTTAATAAAATAAATTGATTTTGACCTCTACAAAGACTAAAATTTGTTGACATATTCAGAAAATTTTATTAAATTTCATTTTAAAGAGCTGTAGATCTCTTGAAAGAGTTTGATTTTGATCGTGCTTTTTACAGCTGAAAGCATTATCATTTATCTGACAAAGATCAGAGACTTTGTTTGCAGAAGTACACAATTATCATTGAATGAAGAAATTTAAAATCACTAACGTTTTCTATGCATTGTTTTTCCTGCACCAGGTATCCGATAACAACCGAGTTGCCGATAACGCGTTGAGCAGTGTGAGGGTGCTAATGATAATAATCGGGTAACAACTACCGGTGTAACAATAGTTTAATTAAATTATAATTTGACAGAACTTTCCGTCTTCCAAATATGTGCAGTGCTAGTGTGTCTATAAAATCCAATGACCCTTCGACATTACATAATCGCGCGTTCCGGTTTACATGTACTTATGTAAAAGCTTTGAAGACACACAAAAAATTATATTTAGAAATCCTTTAGCTTACAATAAATTTTAGCGCTCAGGGGCTCTTGCTCCAAAGGCGCTAAAATTAGTAGTGCGCCAATTATTCTGGTTTTACAGTATATTGCTATACCTTTAAATATTTGTTCCTATACAAATCTATACAAAAAAAATCTAACATTTCAAATGTTTTGCTGAGCAGGCATAAAATCGATGTTGGACAGCTGAGTGAGCTAGATGTTGGACCAGTCGATGAGATGCTGGAACGCTTATGTCACAGAATGGGCCTAGCTTAATCTCTGTTCTCATTTTCATTCATTGGTGTTCATAGCAGACCTCAGGTTTCATCACGGTAGACAGTTCAAAATACATGTATTTTAAAAAAATTAAAATGAAAGGTATAACAAAACATTTATTAACTATGTTCTCGGGCAAAATGTGTTTTGTCGACCCTCAAACCAAACTGTCTGCCTTTGGCCTAATGGCCTCAGGTAGACAGTTTGGTTCTTGGGTCCGTCAAAATGTATGTTGCTTTCCAACTTTGTCAATAAATGTATCATATAACTAATGTGTATATATATTTTTTGCTCAGGCATTAATTATCAATTTAGCCAACTGCTTAGTACCGGATTTTCAATCTAATATCATATCTTCATTAAAAAAAAAAATTCTGGAAGAATTCCTAGTTAAGCCAACTAAGGATTAATGCACCAAGGGGCACAAAAACATTACATTTCATGCAGTAAAATTTAGGGTTACCTCACAAATTGCCACAGTGTATTTCTTCACATCTTTTGGACTAAAGCACACAATATCTGCCTTTACTGAAACTTTCTTCCCAAAAATCTCTGTTGATTCTGTATCTATTTCAGGCTCTACCCTAAAAAAAATAGATGTTGGGCATGTAAGAACTCATTCATGTACTTTACATGTTTTTAATTAAATAAAGTGAAAATAATTTTGATTTAAAAAGTATCTGAGTGGCAACCCTATTGTAATTCCTCATGTTATGAGTTCATTATCTTAAATTGTTTTAAACATTGCATTTTACTTGTAAGCTCAACTAAAGTGATCTAAAAGCCTTTGACTTTGTCCCAGATGTGATAAGACTGGGTAGCTAAGCAGACAGAGGGACAGTTAAAGAAGGTTTTTCTATATACCCCCCCCCCCCAAAAAAAAAAAATCACATGTAGATAGAGACAATAACAACAGTTTTCAATGACATAGCTTTTGAACATGTTACACTATACTTTAAAATACATGTTTATATATATCATAAAACTCAGTTTGGTAATGCAAGGCCTCATACAGACATAAAATTAGGGTACTATGAGCTAACTGAACCATAAAATTCAAAATTAAAAATTATACATATAGAGACAGCCATCAATCTGAAAGATGATAACCTGACAGATATAAACATGACATACAATAATACAACTAGTCTCATAAAATATTTTGAAAAATTATGAGTAATTTCGTTAACATTTACATGACGTCAATTCCAAACATCTGAAGAAATTGCTTAAATAGGCAACGATACTTTTCCTCAGAAATAATAGGCTTATTTCCTTTCAGAATATACCAAAGGCTTACTCCAAATTTCTTCATAAATGTTAGTACTTTGATCTTGAAATAAAAAAAAGAATACTTTGTCAGACAAAATGTGAACATACAGTACAATTACATTAAATACAACAGATATGTACTATTATCAGTTAGGGGTGAGACTGAAATCAGTCATTTATAAAATAATGATTAATACAAGTCATAAATTTGGTTTTTGTACTGATTAAAATTCATTTTTAGAATAACTAACATGACTAAAGAGAATCATTTATAACAATGTGGAGTTAACTTTAGAGGAATGGTTTTAATAATTTAATTACATATAGTATATGTCTGTACTTCATCTTTTAATTTTGAATCAGATCAATTTTTTCTTTGTTTGATTTAGGAATGCTGCAAATGTTTGGTGCTGAGGACTATAATTGTGCAGTATTAAAGGGATCTTATTCATTAGCATGATTAGGGCTAGGTGATCATGATCATAGTCATTATTACAGTTTTATGTACATTGATAGGTATCACTTTATTTGAGCCACAAAAATCACAGGCACCAAACTCGCTTGAATTTTTGACCCCCTAGTATAGGGGTCAAAAATTCAAGCGAGTTTGGTGCCTGTGGCAAAAATGACTGTATGTGTTAAACTTAATTACTGGTAATAAATTTCCTTTTTGCATTGAACATGTTGAATCAAACACATAACTTTTTTTTTTTCACAAATAAGAAGAACTTATTGAAGTTAATCATATTAATTTGTTAATATTCAAAGTAGTTGTGTATAAAATTATTTTGATCAAGAGGTAATTATTTAATTATCATTTATTTCATATCTATATTTATCACTTTTTTTTAAATATATAAAACCCAGCATGTTAAATAAACAAAGAAATTTAACATTTACAGAAGTTAGAATTTTTTTTGCAATATTTCGATATTTATTTCTTCAGATGTACATGATGTATCGATATGTACCATCCTCACATAGAATTAATATATATATTATAAATACATGTATCTTACTCTATCGTCCCAAACTTATTTTTCAAGTCAAGTGTGACATGGGACCTACATGTTACATGTTGTTTACACAATCTAATTAGGAGGACACTTCTCTATGTCCCACATCAAAAAAATTTACCCTAGATGCAGGTGATTTCATCAAAATATTTACAAATCGGGGGCACATAAAAATTAAATGGAAATATGAAAAGGAAGAGGAATGTATTACAGATTTATTAATGTATGCATATCCCATGTTTTATTCAGGTTTAGATAAATAATCGAGCGAAGTTTACGCAAGGTGAGGCGGATGACGAGAAAAGAGTTGCAAGCCTGGAGTTCTCTCTTTATATGTATCAGTCGAAAACGACATATTTAAAAACAGCTTGTACAGACAAAATAGTTACATTTTTGATAATATATAGTGCATATTAGAACAGAAACATAGGTAATCAGAGATTACAGAGCTCACCTCAACGAATGTTGCCTTTAAGTAAGGCAAAGTCACACAATTACCCAACAAAAAGTGTACATCCAAAAATGCAACATTTATGAAATTTTGATCTGATACTTTGAAACAGACCTATATAAAAACTTCAATCTAGCTCTTCATCACAAAAATGTGATCAAATCCAGCATCTGAAGCAAGTTTAAGAGTTTTCATCCCTTGATGCATCATTTGGGCAAGTTTGGTTTATTTAAGCCTTATAGTTTCTTGGTGATAGACCTGCACCCATAACTTTTTACCTGGTCCATTATCTGGAAAATGTATGTCGAATTCAGCATCCGGAGCAAGTCCATTAGTATGCATCCTAAGATGTATCATCCATGCGAGTTTGCACAATATAGGGTTAATAATTAATTAGAAATGAAACCTGCTTAAAAATTTAATCTCCTCATTCATCCAGAAAAAAATGTAGTTCAGATTCAGCATCTGAAGCCAGCCTGGTAGAATGTAACCTTAGATGTATCATCCATGCAAGATTGGTCATTAAAGAACTCATAGTTACTTGGAAATGAAACCTGCACCAAAAACTTTAACCTGTTCACTCATCCAGAAAATGTAGGTCAGATTCAGCATCCAAAGCAAGTCTGGTAGTATGCATCCTAAGATGTATCATCCACGCAAGTTTAGCCATTATAGGCTCATTGTAACTTGGAAATGAATCCTGCCCCAAAAACTTTAACCTGTTCACTCATCCAGAAAATGTAGGTCAGATTCAGCATCCGAAGCAAGTCTGGTAGTATGCATCCTACGATGTACCATCCATGCAAGTTTGGTCAACATAGGGCTTATAGTTACTTGGAAATGAGACCTGCACCAAAAACATTAACCTGTTCACTCAACCGGAAAATGTAGGTCAGATTCAGCATCCGAAGCAAGTCTGGTAGTGTACATCCATAGATGTATCATCCATGCAAGTTTGGTCAACATAGGGCTTATAGTTACTTGGAAATGAGACCTGCACCAAAAACATTAACCTGTTCACTCAACCGGAAAATGTAGGTCAGATTCAGCATCCGAAGCAAGTCTGCTAATGTGCATCCTTAGATGTACCATCCATGCAAGTTTGGTCAACATAGGGCTTATAGTTACTTGGAAATGAGACCTGCACCAAAAACATTAACATGTTCACTCAACCGGAAAATGTAGGTCAGATTCAGCATCTGAAGCAAGCCTGGTTATGTGCATCCTTAGATGTACCATAGATGCAAATTTGGTCAACATAAGCTTATGATTACTTGGAAATGAGACCTGCACCAAAAACATTAACATGTTCACTCAACCGGAAAATGTAGGTCAGATTCAGCATCCGAAGCAAGCCTGGTTATGTGCATCCTTAGATGTACCATCCATGCAAGTTTGGTCAACATAGGGCTTATAGTTCCTTGGACATGAGACCTACACCAAAAACTGCACCAAAAATGTTAACCTGCTCCAAAAACATTAACCTGGTCATTCCTTTGCTGAAATTGCAGCATCTGAAACTTTGACTGGTACAGTGAAACACATTAGAAGCATCTTTCATGCATGTCTAATCAATATAGGACATAGAAGTACTTAAAAAGAAAACTGCTCCAAAAAACTTAACCTGGGACACCGACACCGACACCGACGCCGACGCCGAGGGTATTACATAAGCTCCCCCAACTTCGTTGAGGTGAGCTAAAAATTGAAAACAAGAGGCCCATGGGCCACATCGCTCACCTGAGAAGCTTTGACCATTCTGTTCTTTACCAGATTTCCCCCTTGTTATAAATAATGCATCCCCACCCTACCACACTGATCATAAATTAGACATTTTGAAATCTACACTACCCCATGAACTTTTCATTGACACATATGTTTCAGCTTTTTTTGGCCCAGTGGTTCTTGAGAAGAAGATTTTCAAAGATTTTTCCTATGTATTTCTATGTAAAACTTTGATTCCCTATAATGGCCCCTCCCTTCCCCCGGGGGTCCTGATTCCGACAATTTAGAATTTACACTACCCAAAAATGCTTCCACATAAGCTTCACTTTTTCTGGCTCAGTGGATCTTGAGAAGAAGATTTTCAAAGATTTTTCCTTTATCTTTCTATGTAAAACTTTCATTCCCAATTGTGGCCCCGCCCTTCCACCAGGGGTCATGATTTGAACAATTTAGAATCTACACTATACCAGGATGCTTCCACAAAAGTTTCAGCTTTTCTGGCACAGTGGTTCTTGAGAAGAAGATTTTCAAAGATTTTTTCTATATATTTCTATGTAAAACTTTGATTCCCCATTGTGGCCCCGCCCTTCCCCCGGGGGTCATGATTTGAACAATTTAGAATCTTCATTATACCAGGATGCTTCCACATAAGTTTCAGCTTTTCTGGCCCAGTGGTTCTTGAGAAGAAGATTTTCAAAGATTTTTCCTATATCTTTCTATGTAAAACTTTGATTCCCTATTGTGGCCCTGCCCTTCCCCCAGGGGTCATGATTTGAACAATTTAGATTCTACACTATACCAGGATGTTTCAACATAAGTTTCAGCTTTTCTGGCCCAGTGGTTCTTGAGAAGAAGATTTTTTAATGGCCCCACCCTATTTTTGTCTTTTCTTGATTATCTCCCCTTGCGAGGGGATATGTCCCTTCATTTTAACAATTTAGATTCCCCTTCACCCAAGGATGGTTTGTACCAAGTTTAGTCAAAATTGGCCCAGTGGTTCTTGAGAAGAAGTCGAAAATATGAAAAGTTTACAGACAGACGGACAGACAGACAGACAGACGGACAGACAGACGGACGGACGACGGACAAAATGTGATCAGAAAAGCTCACTTGAGCCTTCAGCTCAGGTGGGCTAAAAAGGTGACTGAAACCCAGATTTAAAAAGAAAAAAAATGGAAAAGGGGGGGGGTCCATACCCCAAGTGCCTATGATTCAAACCTGCAATGTACATTAATTTATCAATCCGTAAGACAAGCCCCTATGATTCAAATCAGTGAAACATAAGAACTTAAGAAGCTGCTCCTTATGCTGTGACTCTAAGCAGATACTCTAACCACTAGTCTTTGCTAAATTTGACTATCATCATTCATTTTATAGCCTCACCACTGACTGATTTTTAGTTTCTGTCCAGTTATTATCTTATAGAAAAAAAATCAGATAAGAAGTCACCAGTATTTGACCACTGGCTGTTGACTATTTATTCAAGCACCTGTATTACCATGCATACTTGGTAATATACAAGCATGAGGAATCCCTTATTTGCAATACTTACATGTCTATTTCTTTGAATCTATTGCTGTACCGCAGCTTTTCCTCTACTGCCGTGCTGGCCTCAAGAAATTGAGACCTTTAAAATTGATTTCAAGCAGTTTCTCATGATTTAGATTATTAAGATGACCCAAGATATCTGTTAGCTCCTCAAGGTTTTGTATTTCATCACGCATGAGGTTATATGCCACAGCGGACTTGTGCTCCGTGATAATATCAGTTGGCGATTTACGTTCAAAACGTATTCCAAGTTTTTCGATTAAACTTCTCCTCCATTCACAAGTGCTTGATGGCACGTCATTT